GCCGAGCTGGACCCGGGCGCCGCCAGTCGGGGCTGCTGGTGAGCGCCGGCCGCGGTGTCCCGGTGAGGACGGGATTCGCCTTGGAAGACGCCGCCGAGGGGGCCGAACGCGCGTCCCCGGCTCCGCCGATGCGGCCTTGGTCCTTGCTGACCTCTCCGACTCGGAGCCTTCGGGGCGCGGCGGGGGGCGGACGGGAAAGGGCGGAACGGCCGGGCAGGTGCCGATGAACCTCGGCGCCCCCAGACCGGACTGAAGCCCAGCCCATGCGGAGACGCAGCATTTGGAGATTGTTTTCGGATTTCTTTCCCCACCTCCTGTAACGTTTAGTCATTACATTGGTCTCTGAAGCCTCAGAATTTAATCCGTCTTTATTTTCACCTCCTATCTAGAATATTGATTCTTTTTAGGGTGGTTAAGCAGAACTGAGAGCTATCGTAGAAGGCACACAGCCAGGCCGACTTTCTGTGAGTTTCCAGTATGCATGCACAGGGGCTTGGCTTGCGTAGACCTGCTTGACATGCTTGAGCTATTCTTTCTAGGTTCATCCTAAAAGTTGATCCTGAGTTTGTCAAAATGAAGTAGTTCTAGATGAGAGTACTGGATGACTTTTAAGTCTGTTCTATATTTTAATTCTCATCTACATAGCCAGGCATCTCAGCCTGAAGCTTCTCATCTTGAGTGTAATCCTACGTCGCTCATGTTCTAGTCTGAAGAATTTCAAAGCTGTCTTTGAAGTAACAGTGTGGATGATGTCCATGACTGGTGCTGACAGGCTTGTGTCTCTTGGAACTCGTAAGTTGGTGGAAGCAGGAAAGAGCCATATTTGGCTGAAGCTAGAGGATGGAGAAGGTTCTGGTGCTACTTTCTGAATACAGATACAGTCATGTCCTATTTTTTTAATGTACCTCAATATTTAATAGATTCAGAAGGGTGGAGATCCTGAAGGGTATTAGCTACTTAAGGCCATCTTGCTGTAACTAATGTAGATAGCACTGTTAAGGGTTTTCACTGTTTGAGGCATAATTTTTTGAGCCAGGTCACATGTGACAGTTCACACATTGTCAGTATATTAAGCCCATGTGTGTGACAACCCAAAAAAATTAATTCAGCACTTTTAGTTTTGGTCTTTGTCCATGAATAGTTTAGAATCCAAAATGAAGGCCACATAGAAATAATCATTATCAAAGCGAAAGGACAAAGTTTTGGTTATGTTACGAGTTTTTTTTTGGTATCTTTTCCTGAATATTATTTTGAACTAATAGAAAGCAGAGACAAAGAAAGAAAGTTCAGGATTTGTGAACAAATATTTTCTTCGAATTCTTGGAAGTGTACGGGGAGGGCTGCTCTAAGTGGATAAGAGCAGAGGAAACAGGGTTAGGGAGAGATAGGGTAGCAAGGTGATGAGTCATGACTTCAGAAGATAGAAGGAAATAATTTTTGATTAAAAAGAGCTTTCACTGTAGCAGGCACTGGCGCAGACCTTGGGTATCGTTTATGACAAGACCTGTACTCTCTTCTTTAGTGGAGTTTTATTTAAGGTCAGTATATTATGTAGTGTGGAAGAAGGTTGTAAGTGCTCGGGAACAGAGTTGAGCAGGGCAAGGAGATTTTTCAGTAGGGAGTCATCACTGCTTTGGCTAATCCACACAGGTACCCAGATCATTTGACATCCTTGTGTAGTCTCTGTACAGATGTTCATGATACATTTACACCTTATGTGTGGGTATAGCTGAGACAAAGTTTTGGTTGTGCTGCACAGTGAGACTCGAAGATGGGGGATAAACTTCATAGGAATTTCACTGACTTTGTGGACTCAAATCTCTAAATATCTTCAGCACCTGCTGTGGGGACTCCAGAGAGGGTGGACTATGTCAGAGTCATCTCTAATGATGCATTACAGTTGGGCCCTGAAGCGCAGGGAGCAATTTAAACTGTTAGAAGTTTTTCTCACAGAAGTGGTTGATATTTGGTGAAAGGTGAATACAAGTTCTCTAAGAGAGCAAGGGAAAATGGAAGAGTTCTGAGGCGTGAAATTGCATGTGAATTGTCCTTTTCCAAGTTAGTGTAAGAAGCTGTAGAATTTTGGAGCTAGGTTGGAGCTATCAGTAACAGCCTATGTACCTTTTTGCTGAAGAGAAAACTGCCAACTTCATGTAGCTAGTCTTTTGCTAGCCTGATTATTGGCTTGGCTACAGTTGGAACTTAGATCTCTTAAACTGGTGGTTTTCCACTCTTGGCATTTTATGTATAGAAAATGCAGAGAAAGTCAGGATAAAACTGACTTCTTAGTATCCATTCAAAAAGTATATTGAGCATTCTCCTTTTTTTGTTTTATTTTATTTATTTATTTATTTTGAGGCAGGGTCTCACTTTGTAGTTCAGGCTAGCTTTGAACTCACTGTGTAGCCCAGGCTGACCTTGAACTCTTGGCAATCCTCCTACCTCAGCCTCCTGTGTGCTGGGATTATAGGTGTGTGCCACTGTGCCCTGCTTCACCTTGTTTCTATAACTTTTAAGTTCTCTTCTAAGTGATGGGACCTACAAAAACAGTTGACTTGGAAAAGAGCACTCTATGAATGTAAGGCTCCTTGGTTTCCCAATATAATTTCCTAATGTAAGGTGAATTGGATGGACCAGAGGTAAAATAAATACAGTTGACTTGTAAGTGGAGTCCTTTAGAAAGAGGAGGTTAGGGATGCGAGTGAATGTGGAGAGGAAGGGAGTACTTACTGAGCACTGTTTGAAGTACCTTTCATTTGTGTTTTATAGCAGTGGCAACATGCAAAACCCAACCAGGATCCTAACCACATCCACGTCTGTCTCCCTTCTTCTGTACCCTTTCTTCTCCCCAACTGTAACATCTTTGGCTTCAAGCAAATGATTTAACTGATTTCAGTGCTTCAGTATCCTCATCTGTAAAATAAATTAATAATAAATAATAAAATAATATCTTGCTAAATGCTTAACGCCAGGCACTGGGTGCTTTAAGCAATTAACTCAGTTCAGTAACCATTAGGAATCGCAGGTTTCAGGCAGAGGGAAACTGGTGAAGAAGTTACATAATTTACTTGAAATCATGTAGCTAATGAATGGTATAGCTTATTTGAGCACTAGACTTCTAGATCCTGGTTTATGCTGCCTTATCTGTAACTGATGAAACTGTGTGTGTGTGTGTGTGTATATATATATATATATTTTAAAGGTGTTATTTATTCACATAGGGTTTTGTTTGCTTTTTGGCAGCACTAGGAATTGAACCCCAGGCCTTCATACCAGGCTACGTCCCCAGTTCTTTTTATTTTGAGGGTGCTTGTTACCCCTCTTCCTCTTTTGTTACACGAGAACCCAAGAAGGCACCATCTCCCTGGACAGCAGATCTGCTGATGCTTTGATCTCGGCCTGCTCACCCTTTACCAAAAGGAACAACACATGCCAGTTTTCTGCTAGTTACCCAGCTGGAGGTGTTGTGGTATACCAGTCCAAACTGATTAAGACAGTGTGGACACTTGGATTCCTATGTTATTTAAAGAACTAGAACCTGCAAGTAGTATTTATTTTGGTGCTTAAGCTGTTCCTGTTTTGGCTGGTAGGAACCCTGTTCATACTGGCTTGTATGTTGTCTTGACTTTTTCCTGTCTTGCTCTGGGTACATCTTCTTTGCTGTCATAAGATATTCCACATTGATCTTACATTTTTTGCCTCAGCCCTGGGGCTGGTCCTTTTGCCTGGAATGTTGGCTCCATTCAATGGAGAATGGTATTTAGAAACCAAAGTCTAAACTGAGTGAGGTGTTTGACACCTGTAATTCTAGCATTCTGGGAGAGCTGGTTTGATCCCAGTGTGGGCAACTTAGCAACTGAGTGAGACCTTGTCTCAAGGGGGTGGGGTGGGGATGTAGCTCAGTGAGAAGGCCCTCAGTTCACTTCTTAGTACCTAAACAAAACAAAACAAAACAAAACACCCTGTGAAAATCTTGATGATCGGTATGCTTATCATTGCAGGCATGTTCTTACCCACAGATTGTCTCGTTGGACACTTTTTCTAGTTGCTTTCCTGATCTCTTGAGGCGAAATGCCCAACATCTGCAACTTAAAGGTCTAGAGCTTTGTTGGGCTCAGAGTTACAATCTGTGGTTTTATGGCTTCAAGACAGAGCCGCATGGCAGAGGGGCCTGGGCAGAGGAAAGCTCCTTGGCAGCCTGGAAGCTGAAGGGAAGGGAGGACCCTGGAGGGAGACTGCCCTTCTAGGTCACGCCCAGTTCCACCTATCCAAGTCAGCTGTGCCACTCCTCGATTGGGGCACCTTCCCCAAGCCTTGCTGAAGAGCATATGAGGCCTTTGGGGGACATTCTGCACCCAAGCCTTAACAACACTGGTAGGAAATAGGTATCACACATTCACATCCAGGGCTAAGATCTGTCAATTGCATATGTTAAATGAATTCATACCATGCCCACCAATGTTAAGCCAACAGCATAGGGTTCATTCTAGCCTTCTTTCTCCATTATTATGTTTTTTGATTCTGTTATTGTTCTTCTCATTTTATCCTTCTCTCCAAGTCTTTTTTTTTTTTTTTTTAGACTAGGTCCAGGCTGGTCTTGAACTCATGAGGTAGCATAGGCTTGTCTTAAACTTGCACTGATCCTCCTGTCTCAGCCTCCTGAGTGCTGGGAACACAGGCATGCACCACCACACCTGGCCTAAGTCTTTTTATTCTCAAATAGAATTTGCTAAGAATAGTTGAATAGTTGTAGTATTGTAGTATTGGGTATTAGGAGAAAAATTTAAGATGTATTCTTTGCAGAAATAGGTAGCCGTATAATTTAGCATAAGCATATAACCTAGTGTAAATGACAAGTATATTAAATAGAAATAGTAGTATTATAAGATACTTTTTCTGGTATATTGGTGTTATAGCTCATGTTTCAGACAGATGAGCAGCAGCATGACCCACTTGCTCTGTAGAGAATTCATTTGTTTGCCACTAAATTTAACTATTGAAGTAGCTCTGTTTAAATGTGGTTATAATTTGCTCAAAATGGCTGGTGCCATTCCCATGAATTCTTCCTCATACCCTGCTGGATATTCAGTAGGCTTTCTTAAACTCTTAGAAATGGCACTTTTGAATCAATGAATAGCAAACAGATTGCACAGTGTAAATTTTTTTTTCAGTAGTGAGGTTTTACTTTAAAGGTATGAAAAGAAAAGAAATATGCTCCACAGAGCCAGTATGGGCCAGTTAAAATTATGAAAAAAAGGCACAGTCTACAGGGTGAGGTGAGCAGATCCATGTGGAAGAGAGCACAGTGGCCATGCATGGTGTTATTTTAAGGTTTATTGTTGTCTGTGTCAGTAACCTATTATTAAGGACTCTGAAGGGACCTAATCAGTCAAGCTTGTTCAGCTCTTATCACTCTTACCTAGTGGTGCTCTGAGAGTGTCTTTCCTCCCCACTGGCTCTTGCTTTGTTTCTCAGGCTGGCTCAAACTCCTGGGCTCCAGTAATCCTGCCTTAGCTTCAAATGTGCATCACCATGTCCAGCTAACTTTTTCAGGAGGTGTGTGTGTATGTATGTGTGTGTATGTAATTGGGGATTTAACTCAGGGGTGCTCCACCCTGAAGCTGTATCCCTCCAGCCCTTTCAGTTTTGGAGGGAGGATGGGGATTGAACCGAGGGTCTTTGCAGTGAGTACCCCTTTTATTTATTTTTATTTTTTACTTTGAGTTTTTTTTTTTTTTTCTCCTAGATGGGGTTTCACTATGTAGTACAGGTTGACCTTGAATTCGGTTATGTAGCCCAGGCTGGCCTTGAACTTACAGTTATCCTCCTGCCGCAGCCTCTTGAATGCTGGGATTACAGGCATGTGCCACTATGCCCAGCTATGCTTTGAAACACAGTCTTTTAAAATCACCAAGTTGCCTAGGCTGGGGTGGAACCTGTTATCTTTGTGCTGCAGTCTGCCAGAGTGCTGGGATTACAGGCATGCACCATCACATCCAACTCCTTTTTATGTTTTCTTTTGGGTCTTACTGAGTTATATAGGCTGGCTTGGAATTTACAATCCTCCTGCCTTAGCCTCCTGAGTAGCTGGGATTACAGGTATGTACCACTGTGCCTGGTCCTTTCTCAGTTTTTTTAGTTGGAAAATGGTATGTCATTCAATATTTAGAAAAATAATTCTGCTTCTGTTTTACAGCAGAAAAAAGCTCTCTTGGCCATCTGTCAGTAGAAAGTACTTCCTATATGAAGGGGATTCCTGTCTCTGTGTAACTATAACCCTTGAGAAGTCTGCATAGGCCCTTAAAATATGGAGCCTCTGTGTCACATAGGAGCATAGATTCAGGTCCTAACTCTTGGATTAGAGTGTGTTTTAATTAGATTCTGAGGTAATCTAAAAGAACCTTCTCATTTCAGAATCTTTACACAACAGTAAATGGCTTGCTATCTGGATATTGATTTAAATGATCTGAAAAGAGGTGAAGAAAAATCTTTGGGATGCAATATAAAGCTATCATTCTTGAGAGAATGTTTGAGGACC